GACCCGGCAGCTCTCAAAGGCTGTAATGATTCAACAGTATGAAATTCAAACAGTACACACCCTAAAAGTGGTACAAAGCATGAAAATGGGGTAATTTGATGTATACTTGTATAGGTATCCAAGGAGAGCTCAGAACCTATGACATGATCCTTGCAGAACTTTACTGATGATCTTCTTGCCGTCTGCAACTTCCCTTTGCTTTATCCGTCTCACTTAAAAAGTTCTTTTGCTTACCTCCTTTTTTCTCTTCTGTTCTATATAATGCTGACATCTTATGCTTTACGGAGGTCACAGCAGCACAACCGGACTGACAAGTCCTTCCCCTGTTATGAACCGTTAAGTCTGGACAAAATGTTCTGCTATTTGTGCTATGAATTGGCATGGTAACACGGAACAGAAAAGTCCTCTTGCATGACAGGGCCTAGCTCCCTGCCACTACAAAAAGCTCTGTTGTACAATCGCCTCATAAATTTATGAAGTGCCATATTAAAAACAGGTATATTTTCCTCCCACCAGTTTCAAGGAAAAGCTGTTTCAGAACTTGATTGCTGTAATGACTAAAACATTCTTCTCATTTCCTGATATATTTATTAATGAACAGTACATATCTGTTTGCTCTTATGTCAATATAGCCCTGCAAATGAAATGGTTTTCATCTTTTATGTTTACTTCCCTGATGTATCTATTGAGAGCACTCATATCCCCTCTCATGCTTTTGTTTTACTGAAGTAAACAAGCTGAGCCATCCTAAAATCTGTTTGTACAAAAGGCTCTCAAGCTCTCCAGTGATGGGCCTAACCTCCCTCTACCCCTCTTGCTGCTCAACCTTAGCCCAGATACAGAACAATTACTTAGAAGTTTTCACGGTACCCAGATAAGGTTTCACCAGGGCCTTAAACAATGGCATTAATACCTCCTGACTTGAAATGAAATACATCATCTGGGATATTCTCTGTACTTATACCGATTCCTAAATATATATTGCGACCAGATTTCATCAGCATGTTCTTACTGATTTTATCATGACTACTACAAAATGTAGCAAATAAAACCATCCTAATCCCAACCCTTTAAGCCTGACATCTTCCTTTTCAACCCTATTTGTGGCTATATCACTTCACAATTTCTCTCCTAACCCCCATATTCTCATTCCTTCACAGGTAATACCATTCCAAATGTTTTCTCTATAGGGTATTAATATGACAGATTGAGTTTTCCTAAGATTGAGACCAGGCTTCGGGGTCACTTTTCCTCTTTTCAAAGATAAGTAATCACAGTTCAAGCTCAGCCCACCTACCTTCAAAGGCTCTGCAGAGAGAGACATGTAAAGAGTCATTTGTGACATGGCTTGTTCTCTGCGAGGTGAGACACCTCTTATCACCAAGGTGAGAGGGTGAGAATGTCAGCCAACAAGATTCTCAGTGAAGATCCTTCAGTTAAATGCCTCAAGCACAATGCCAGACCCCCGTTTGCAATTATCCAGTCGTAACATTCTTAACAGGCCTCCTCAAAACACTTGCTGCTAGATTCTACTTATCACCTGTTTCAGGAATGCAGATGCAGTCCCTTTTATCTGAAAGCATGACACCAGTGTTGCATTTTTTGCTGTTGTAGGGATTTCTGTTCTGCCATTCACATGATCCATCTCCACCTTTCTCCACTAGGTGAAAATACTTCGGCAGTGAAGAAAGGCATACTTTGAATTCAGGGTATTTAACTTAGGCTCACTAGACAATAGCCACAACTTCTGCTCTCCCATTTGTATCACTGAAAAATCTCTAAAAATTCCATATGAGTACGATACAAGCATGGCTAGTTAGTAGGAACTGGAAGCATTTTCAGCTGAAACAGGACACGTAATTGAGGACAAAAATAAAATGGTACAGCAGAAAAAGCTGGTCAGTAATAGTAAACAGAGCGACATACTTTTGAATGTACTTTTTCTGTACATGTGGGTGGAAGGAGGACTAAGTCTTCCTAAAACTACTACTAAAAACTCCCATGGAATATGACACTTCAAGGCAAACCCCCTCACATACATTTCATACTGTACTGTCTTGTAAAATTGTATTCAATTTAAGTATGTTACTGTTTTATTCATTCACCAAGATCATCAAAAGCCATCAGGAATAACCATTCCGAATGACAGCTGTGCTTCTTCTATACCTTCTTCTGAATATCCCAGTTGCAAAGTAAACAGTTTGCTTTTTTAAGTCAGAGAGAGAAGCGTGAGTGAGCTGAAATGCACAGGATTAGGAATTTCATTTTCTTATTCATATTTCTCTGATTTGTTTCTAAAATATTTTTTCTTAATTTATGTCTAAAATTCTAGCAAATTGAAAAGCCTTTACCGTTATTATTAGGGCATTAACTAAGTAATTAACTAATGACTATGTAGAACTATTGTAGGTGGAGTTTTAAAATGTAGGTATTGGCCTAACTTTTATAGTGTACAAAATGAAGCAAAATTACAACATAAAGACCAAACAATAATACACAGAATAATCTAACTATGTAACTACTATTTTGCATGTATTTTGTAAATCTAGTTTCCAAAACTGGTGTCCTAGGCCATGAAACAATAAGAAACAAAACCTCACAAAACCAGATTTATATACTTAGAATGGCACTGTTCAACACTCACATGTTGTGATATAGCCCAGATAATGCTTAAACATTCTATTGGGCTTGTTTAGCATGTAGATGGCACACCACTGTTTTCTCAATTGTGGGGGGTTTATTATTATGCTACAGAAAAAATCTGTTGTTAAACTTATTTTTAGTATTAAATTACTGTAGATGGTATTGATTCTCCTCAGGTAGCTGCAACTGAGAATGCATGGCCTTGTGTAAAGGCTGTAAGAAGGCACACAGTATTTACTTTTTCATGAGGATTTGCACTTTAAAAAAAAATCACTGAAAATATGCTCATACTGTGTGGAAAATACTTATGCACAAAATAAAGACTTGCTAAAGAACTAACTTAGGATTTTTTTTTTTTCATTAATTTTACCATTCTGACCTCACTAATGTCATGATTTAGAATCATGGAATCGCAGAACTGTAGAATGGTTTGGGTTGGAAAGGACCTTAAGATCACCTAACTCGAATCCCCCTGCCATGGGCAGGGACACCTCAAGAACTGGGTGGATAGCCACACTCAAAGGTCAATGGCTCAATGTCTGGCTGGAGACCAGTAACGAGTGGTGTCCCTCAGGGATCAGTGTTGGGACCGGTCTTGTTCAACATCTTTGTCGGTGACATGGACAGTGGGATTGAGTGCGCCCTCAGCAAGTTTGCCAATGACACCAAGCTGTGTGGTTCGGTTGATACACTGGAGGGAAGGAATGCCATCCAGAGGGACCTTGACACACTTGTGAGGTGGGTTGATGCCAACCTCATGAAGTTTAACCATGCCAAGTGCAAGGTCCTACACCTGGGTCGGAGCAATCTCAGGCACAGCTGCAGGCTGGGCAGGGAAGAGATTCAGAGCAGCCCTGTGGAGAAGGACTTGGGGGTGTTGGTGGCTGAGAAAATGAACATGAGCCAGATTCAGTGTGTGCTCGCAGCCCATAAAGCCAACCGTATCCTGGGCTGCATCAAAAGGAGCGTGACCAGCAGGTCAAAGGAGGTGATCCTGCCCCTCTACTCTGCTCTTGTGAGACCTCACCTGGAGTATTGTGTGCAGTTCTGGTGTCCTCAACACAAAAAGGACATGGAACTGTTGGAACAAGTCCAGAAAAGGGCCATGAGGATGATCAGGGGACTGGAGCACCTCCCATATGAAGATAGGCTGAGAAAGTTGGGGCTGTTCAGCCTGGAGCAGAGAAGGCTGTGTGGAGACCTCATAGCAGCCTTCTAGCATCTGAATGGGTCCTACAGGTATGCTGGGGATGGACTCTTCATTAGGGACTGTAGTGACAGGACAAGGGGTAACGGGTTAAAACTTAAACAGGGGAAGTTTAGATTGGATATAAGGAAGAAATTCTTTCCTGTTAGGGTGGTGAGGCACTGGAATGGGTTGCCCAGAAGAAGAAAGTGTTTACTGCAAGGGTAGTGAGGCACTGGAACAGGCTGGGTGGGGAAGCTGTGGCTGCTTCATCCCTGGCAGGGCTCAAGGCCAGGTAGGACAGAGCCTTGGGTGACATAGAATCATAAAATAGTTAGGGTTGGAAAGGACCTTAAGATCGTGTACTTCTGACCCCCCCCTGCCATGGGTAGGGACACCTCACACTAAACCATGTCACCCAAGGCTTTGTCCAACCTGGCCTTGAACACCACCAGGGATGGAGCATTCACAGATTCCCCACCCAGCCCGTTCCAGTGCCTCACTACCCTTGCAGTAAACACTTTCTTCCTTACACGCAACCTCAATCTCCTGTTTAAGTGCAAACCAAATCATGTATAAAATAATTTCTCATTTGTCACCGTTTATGACACGTGCTATAAGCGTTATCAAAGCCATAAACCGGTCATCCTCATCCTAGAAACTAGCACTGTTTGAAGGCCAGGTCCCAGTTTTTTGAGGGAGAGCACACCAGCAATATGACCAACACGCTGTAATGGGGCCAGCCTCACGGGCAAACCCAACAGCAAATACTGAAGCCCGAAATCACACAGCTCCAGCACTTGGGGCCTTGCCCTCCTCCCTGGCGCCCCTTCTCGCACCTCGGCCAGAATCGCCTCGGGGCCTCTCGGCCTGAGATGCTTTGTGGGGCAGGGACGACAGAAGCGAGCAGCGCGCCACGCGGAACACACTTGTTACATCAAACCAGGCCTGGCCCTCGCCGGTCCGCAACCACGTCAGACCCCGGCTGGACCGCGCAGAGCAACCACAAGCCACCGGCGAGCCGCACCGCTCATGCGCAGCCGTGCGGGAGGCGGCTCCGCCTCGCCTGTGGCAGGACGGAAGTTGGGAGGTTGTTCATTGCCGTACGCGCTGCTCGGCTGGCAGCAGAGACCTTGGGTATTCCCTCTTGACCCGCACCCTGGAGCTTGCCCCGTGCCTCAGGGTGTGCTGCTTCTGCCCCTGCCTGTCCCTCCTCTCCCGCCGTCAGTGGGGCCCGGGCTGAGGCGGTAGCTCCGGCCATGGTGCGGGGCGGGGCGGCGGTGTTGCGGAAGGTCAGTGCGGCCGGCCCGCGGAGTGGTGGGGACGGGGCCTGCGTGCGAGCAGCCCCGCGCAGGTGGCGTTCGGGCGGCTCGAAGGGCTGGCGGGGAGCCGCGGTCCAGCTCTGTGCCCCGCAGCCTCTCCGCTGCGGGCTGCCGTGTCGGTACGCGGGCACGGCCCGGCCGAGTGCCCACTTCCTTTCCCCTGTCTAGCCCGCGGGTCGGCTGTTTGCGGGCACGCCCCTCAGTACGTGCAGGGCTAAGGCGAGGCGAGGTGAGGTGCCGGCAGGGTCCCACGCTTGTCTCCGTGCTCGCTGCCTGGGGCGCTGCAGGGCGGGCCGGCCGTGAGGTACGGCTGCCGAGGAAGATAGGTCAAACAGTTCGCTTATTAAAAGACATTATTGAGGGTTACGCGTCTGCTTTCTGGGCTTTAATTATTGCCATCAAAGTTATACCGAAGCAGTTTTACACTCATTTCTACACAACAAAATGTAAACAGAACTTAATACTGATATAAAACTTGGTCGTTTTAGTATGGCAACTTCGTCGATGATTTACGGCTCTATGTGAGAGGAGGAAGTGGTGGCATGGGTTATCCTCGCCTGGGTGGGGAAGGAGGAAGAGGTGGCGATGTATGGTTCGTTGCCCAGGAAAGAATTACCTTAAAGAGCATTAGGGAGAAATACCCTCTGAAGCGATTTGTAGCTGGAACAGGAGCCAACAGCAGGTAAGGGTCTGTTCGATGGAAGCTGTTGTATGCATTTTTTCCAGAAAGCAGTTACTAAGCCTGGTTCAATTTCTCCCAGTGTTAAAGCACTAAAAGGTGAAAAAGGAAAAGACTGTGAAGTTCGTGTGCCTCTGGGAATTTCAGTTCTCTGTGATGATGGCAAGCAGATTGGTAAGAACTTTTGCTCTATTTTAGTTTATCCAGTAGATCATGTCATGTTTATTGATGGCATTTAGCAGACTTCTGACACTACGATGTTTAAGGTTACACATTTCCCAAAATATGTGTGTATTTTCTTTCAGACAGAGTTGACAAAAAAAAACCAACAAAAAACTGTGGAAATCGTTGGAAAAGATCCCTTCCAGAAATTAGCAGGAGTTAGTTTGTATCACTATATGCAGCAGAAAGAAAATTGCTCTTGCAAGCAAGTGTTAAAGACTGGAAGCTATACTGATCCTCCACAGAATCATTAATGACCTTACTTAAATTAGGTGTCCATAAACTCAGGTGACCCTGTAACTGCTGAATTATGACACTTGTTAAAAGGTAATGATCATTGGTGTCAACTCTTCAGGTTATCTATAATACCTACTTTTCACTCTTTTTTAAAGAGTGGTGCTTGATAGTAACTAGGAGGATCTCTCAATACAGTGCTCTTGGAATAGATCTCAATGTTTTCTTTGCAGTTTCTCAGAGTTTTTCTCCTCATACTGTTGAAACTAAAGTCAGAGGTTATTTCGATTTGGAGCAAAATTTGATGTTTGGCAAGAACAGTTTATGATGTAGGCATGTGAGCGTCTAAAGGTATCCCTGAATTATATACTCAAATGTTGCATTTCATCTTATAATTATTCTAACCCTAAGGGAAATACACAGCCTGTATCTTAATGAAAGAATATGGAACCTCTGAAGATTTTTCTGTAGCTGCATCTCTATCAATGTGGATTTTTCCTTGCATTCTTGAACTCAAATATTGGAGGCTTCAGAACTACCATCTTTGCCATAGTTTGCCTGCCTGTACTTAGCACTTTTCTTGAAGTGACTAACTGTATGACAGAAGGCAAAACTGGGGTGTGATTGATTTCATTTGTTTCCAAAGAAGGAAAAATATCATGACCCTAAGTGCACAGCTCTTGCAAGGAGGTGCACAGAAAGTTGTTTCTTCATTGGAGATAAAGTGTGAAGTCACAACTGAACTCCTGCGGGTATTGTGTTTTTTCACTGGTGAACTTATTTTCAGGAGAGCTTAATGCAGCAGGAGAGAGATTCTTGGCAGCACGTGGAGGTCTTGGAGGCTGTTTGGCCACAAACTTTGTGCCTTGCAAAGGTCAGAGGCGAATTGTTCGTCTTGATTTGAAACTTATAGCAGATGTTGGCTTAGTTGGGTAAGTACTGTAGTTTGAGAACTGATACTAGAAAATAAAGTAGTAAATTTCAAATGGGATTTCAAAGGAATTTGAGGGTTTGGAGGATGAGTGCTACTGTACTTTGACATTGCCACTTAAATAACTTGCAGTTTGCAGAAATCAGAGCTTAAACCTATTAAAATTAATTTTAAAATTTGGAAAGTACTGGTTATGTTTTTGTTTGTGAAGGGCTTCGTGAGTCAGTGTAATATATCATTATTAATCAAATTTTTCAATGATGGTGATTATTAAGATAGTATTAACTAATATTTATTAAGTAAGTAGCAGGTGCAAGACAGAGCCAAGAGCACTGGCCGTATTGCATCTTTGACTTGGTGGTACTGGCATAAGTGGATACTCTCAGTAGTAGTTTTAAAGAGAGTTTCAAAGGTGATGTGCCCTACTCTCCCAAATAAACAGCTTGGAAGGAAGTAATTACAAACAAGAACATAGGACTTGCATTTCAATATTACTACTTTATAACATTGCAGATAAATGTATTTTCGTTTGGAGAAAGCTTTCAACAAACTACAGTTGTAAAAATATTGTTGTAAGTATTGTATACAAGTTCTACTCAGCATCTACTGCCAACCTCCACCTGCTCTTGTTTTAGAGTATGTGAAAATACAGTTTTACAACACTGGCACTTCTTTAATCTTGCATTTTGGGTTGTATTTTAGCTGACAGTATCCCTCTAAAATGGGTAAAAAGAATCACAGTTAATTAGAGGAGCATATTTTCTTGTTGAGAGTATGAATCAGCCTCCAGTAGTTTGTGGTTGTACTTTGATCTCTTTGTGCTTGTTATTTTTACTTTAGGAGATTTGGAAGTGGTTTGCTATTAGATCAGATAAAAAACGTTACTGATGGGTCTGAGAAAGACCTATCAGGTTTGGGTACAGGTTGTCATGTGTAGTGTAGGTTACAGCATACACTTCAAAGAGCATATTGTGCCTTAATGGGAACAAAATAGTCACTTGAGGTTATGATTAGAGTAACCTTCCAGAATGTGTTAAAGATACCTTTCAACATCAGAGCACATTAAAACTACCCTTGATAGTTTTCATGTGACAAGAAGAGTTATGATGTTTCTTTCTTTTTTAAGAAAGCCTCTTACACAACCCCTTTATGGTGCCCCTTAATGCAGTACTGGTATTGTTTTTCATTTGCTCATGTTCTTAATTAGTTGTCCCTGTTAACAGGTCTTGATTCTGTATGTAATCAAGTGGAGAGTATATGGTTTTCTATGTGGTGCATGCTTTTTTATCTTGTGACCAATGTTTAGTTACCTGTGGACACAAGTTTTCTTTGATCACTGTTGCACTGAAACATTGTGCTGAATAACTCTGTAACTTAGACTGGAACATAAGTCTTGTATGATGTTCTGTATAGAACAGATGCTGTGAATAAGCACTATAGTCTATCCTTTGTTGTTAGAATAAGCTTCAAGTTTGGCATGAATCAAGGCTATTGTGTCTTTCACAATCCTTAAATCTTTAAAATAAGATTACAATAAGCACGTCTTACAATTTTAATTTTAACTTAGGCTTCTGTTAAAACCTAACAGAAATGGGTAGATGTATTCTGTGAAGAAGCTTTTGTACAAGCTACCATACCCTTTAGAGAATGTTCCTGTATAGCTGACCTTTGTAAAGAGAAAAGGTTACAACAGTCAGATCTGCACATACCAGCTCCTGGGGCTTCACCAGTATTATTTTTGGTTTACCTGGAAACAAAGCTGGTTAGTCCTAATTTCAGGATCCCTCATACAACTCTGTTGCCTTGAAAACGTACAAACTGTGTGTTCAGTCTATATGTATACAGAGCCTCCGTCTGTGCAGAGTTTACAGCTGCTTTACTACATTGGCAAAACTGTAGCATAGGTATCATTGGTACTTAAATTGTGGACTGTTTAATTAACCATGATTTGTATTCCAAAAGACTAAATCCAGCTGATGAGATGCATTTGCTGCAGGTGCTTAGAATGTAAATGTACTTTACAAAATCAGCTATAGCATGTGAAGACTGAATTCAAGTAGACTTGTTTATGCTGTGTTTCCATCTAATTACACATACATTTACATACCTCTCTTGCTGGCATCCTTGGGAAGCATTATTGGATTTAGAAAAAATACTCAGATTTGATTTTTAAAAAATAGTAATCATCTCAGTTTTGGTCCGTTTTTTGTGGGTGGTAGGTTTTGTATGTGGTTTTAGGGGGGAGGGTGATTTTTGGGGGTGTGATTATTTTTTTTTTTTTAAGAGTAACTGAGTCTGCAAAAATTAGTTGATAGCATTGAGTTTGGTTAGGGTATTTGGTAATAAAATACAAAGGAGCCACATATTTGTTTATTCAGTGTATAAATCCTGATTTTCCTCGTAGGTTTCCAAATGCGGGAAAATCATCCTTGTTAAGTAAGGTTTCTCATGCCAAACCTGAGATTGCAAATTATGCATGTAAGTTCACACACTTACTTTTAGAGCAGTAATATTTCATGAGAGCAAAAAGTCTTTTCTCTGACTTGGTTTGCAGGTTTATAATAAAGACTAAGGTATAACCATGTTGCCTGTCAAATGTGTTACACAGATTTTTAATTATGAGAAATACTCCAAAAAGAAATTTGCTGTTTCAGTGTCAAGTCCCTTTAACAACCTCACGTTTTCATGTATGCCCCCTCTAGTTAGTGCTTCAACCTAAGCTGAAGTTCATGCAGGATCTATTTAACATTTATTTTAGTCTCAGCCCATTTAACTGCATCTGAGACTATGCTGTGTAATGTCCTTTGCCTACTAAACATGCACCAAGTTCGTTTACATAAACATCTTGTATGGTTTGGAATTCGCTACCACCTGTTCTTCCAGCAAAGTAAGATTTTGGTTTTGAATCTCTTCACTGAAAAATGGACAGAAATCTTTTTGCTGTTTTTCTATCAGTAAATCAGGTTTAATTATCTGATCAGTTTTAAATTAAAAAGAGTACAAATACCAGTAATGCCTACTGATCTTGCACCACTCCTGATTCAGTGCAGCCTTTTCATATTTTAACTCAGTGTGAAGAGGCCTGTTTTCACTTTGCCTTTTGTTAATTTTTTTTTCCTCTTTGGAAGCTCTTCCATAGAGTGGTTAATAATTTTTGTGTCTGAGACTTCCTTCATCATCCCTTTTGGGGATGACAGGACAGAACTGAAAGGGTGCCAAGACTTGGCTAGCCATTGGTTTTTGGGTGGTCTGATTTTGTTTTCTCTTGGTTTGCTTTTCTTCCTTTTCCAGTAATTTTTAAAATTCCATTTGCCTTGTTTTTTTTCTGCTACTAGTTGTTTAATCTAAATAAGTCCCACAACGTTTAAATGTTTTGTAACATGAACATCTTCTAAAATGTTAAAAACAGTTTTGTTTTCTTCCCCTTCTCTTTTTCCCTTGTCATAGTTACGACAGTACAGCCTCAACTAGGTAAGATCATGTATGCGGATTATAAGCAGGTTGGTATGAAAGTTCATTCTGGTTGTTCATTAAAGTTGTGTATAATGATTAGTTATGTTGCTTAATATAATTTCAGAAAGAAAAGGGAAGCTTTGTAGGTTTTTTTCATATGTGTATCTATAATATATACATATAAAATGCAATGACATGCACTTAATGAGAGTTGTGGAGAAAGTGCTATTTTTATGAAATAATAAGAGAGCTTTAAAGCCAAATGCTAATATGTAATATGAGGTTGAGCTAACTTCAGGTCACTTTGGAAAATGGCTTCTTTACCCTTGTCTCCTTTCTGTGGTTCTAATCCTGCTTTTATAACCTTAGAGTTGTGAACTAGTGTGTGGAACTGAGATTGCTGTGTTCTAACTCTTGTTCAGGACTTTAAAAAAAGTCATTGTTTCTGAGACTAACCTGTTATTTTTATTTAGAAGAGGCAGATTTTAGACAAGTTGACTATACAGAAAGCTCTGGAATGAATAAGTAATTTTAAGAATGGATTTTAAACAGTGGCATATTTTTAAACAGTGGCAGATCTGCAGTAGTGAATGACAGGGAATTTAGCGAATATAACTTAGTTACTGTAACTTACTGTTTTGGCTTTCTAGGTTGGCTGATCTAACTTCCATTTGGGTTTTGGTTTGCCCTGGGCTTGGTGTTTTGGTTTGGGTTGTTTTATTTCTTTGGTTTGTGGGTTTTTTTGTTTTGTTGGGGTTTATTTTATTTGTCCATTTTTCTGGTTTTTAATAAACCATAAAATAGTATGAAGTGATGACAGCCCAAACAGCCAGGATAGTGCACAATCTAAGAGGTAAGGTAGCTGGGTCCAGTTCTTTTTGTTGTAGCTCTGGAGGACTGGTGGAGCTACTGCCAACCACTTTAATTTTTGTGAACCCAAATTCCACCCAGCTTTTTCAGGTAACTCTGTGGTGCCTGGAATCCTTTCTACAGTATCCACTTGTGGGAAAACCAGTGCTAAACGAGACTCTTACTAGTAGATTTTGGACCACAAGTTCACGTAAGGTTACAGCAAACATTTTCATTCCTCAAGCTTGAATGTTCTTTGAAGTGCTTTTATTTTGTCTTTGAAGGGTATGATATATGCAGTACTGGACTTATCATTTGCAAGATTAAAGACAAATGCATAAAAGGTTTTCAGATGAGTTAACCAGAAAAGCTACTTCTCAGATGTGAAAAGACAGAAAACTCCTCTTTTCACTTTCAGAAGCAATAATCTTAGGGGGTTCAGTAGCTGATGCTTGAAACCTTCATTTAACATCCTTTTACAAAGCTGTGCATTAAAGGAAGTAAGTCTTTGTCAGGTTCCCTGTAGAGATGCACACATCTAAGGGAAATTTTTTGTATGTCCATTTTATCTGCTGGTTTAGGGTAGTTTGTCCTAGAAAGCTTGGCTGCAAATAACAGGATTGTTTATAGTGTTTTTGAAAAACTACCCACCTGCCATGGATCGGGACCTCTTGCTCTTACTGGTTTATCTTTCTCCAGCAGAACTACTTGCACTCTGTGGCTTTCTTTCCTGCAGTTTTTTTGTCTCTTACAGAGTGACCCTATTGTTGGCTGTATCTGCAGTTCATGCTTTTTATACTAGAATGTGGGTGATATATAGGAGCTATATGGACCAAAAAAAATTTTTCTGAATTCAAGGGAACTAGTGATTTGTGATTACAGGGAACATTTGTGAATAAGAGGAAGTACTTCAGCTCTGAGTATTGCAACTGCTGAAAAAAAAACCAGCATAATTAAGAGCAGTAATTGAGGTGACTGTTCTGGAGCATTCCAGGGAGAGTGGCTCATTACATCCTTTTTTTTTAAATTCAGAACATGTTTTTTTTTTTTTTTAGGAAATAGGTAGCAATTTGCTTATTTTATCTTAGAACATTTTGAAGGAGAAATTACATGCAAGTTACCTGGTGCTGTGTGTCACTGCTGCTTGGAAAAGACACAAAGTAGAGGATCTGAGTAAGAGGAGTGTGGATTCAGATCTTGATACCAGATCATGGAAACTAGCAGAACCATTTTCATCATCTGCCAGAATATCTGAACCAAGTGCTGTTTTGAGAGAATATGAGGGGCTTTTTATGAGCTCCATAAAAAATATTCTTTGAAAGAACTGAAGTTAGGGAAAAAGCTGCTTTTGATGGGATTACAGCACCCAAAGCCATCACACCAGGAAGTGGATGCTTCTGTTCTAACTCTCCAGTTGTTCTCTCCCTGTTTCTAGTTATAAGCCTGTAGTTCATCCAGCTGTATCTCATGTCACATTTTCATGGAAAATTCTGAAGGAAGGCTTCAAGTATTTAGGAAATGAATAATAATTAAAAAGTGTAACACAAATGGGAGTGTAACTCACTCATAGCAGAAAGCACCCTTCTGCCATAGGTAGCACACTGGAAATTTTGTTTGCTGGCTTAGGGTATTGTTCAGTTGAATCCAGTTGATGTCTAAATGGGTATTGGATAGATTTGACAACCCTACTTTTGTTCTTCTTTGCCTCACTGTCTTAGCTTTCTGTGAGTTACTGAGTAGATATCTGGGGCTTTAGCATACTGCTCTTTTTCAGTCTGTCTCAGCTCTCCTTTACAACTGTCTACAACCCTCTCAACCAGCACAGAAAATGACAAAATACCTTTCCACTGGGACAGTCTCTGCTGGCTTTGGTTGGAAGTTGATGGAACTGCTGGAGAACTGATCCCCCACCCAATTCCAAGGAATACACATGCTTGTAAAAGGAGTCTCTCAAAGATATTCCTGACATTCCTTGTCTGGATTCTTTTGTTTTCTGTAAAATGATAATAGATGTTGATGGTTCAAAGTAACCATTTTTGCTTGTTGGAAATATTTTGTCTGACACTTGTTTCCGTAGATCTTGGTAGCTGATCTGCCAGGACTGATTGAAGGTGCACACGTAAACAGAGGGATGGGCCACAAATTTCTCAAACATGTAGAAAGAACCAAACAGCTTCTCTTAGTTGTAAGTGAAATAAAATTTACAGCTTATTGAAATCAAAGTGCAGTAAATAAGATGCATGTTTATTGCAGTGTAGTTGGAATGTAGGAAGTAGTTTATAATTTGCATGTTTATGATAAATGTAGCTGCAGTATGGTTTTCAGAATGGAATGCTCAAACAACTGATGGTAAATTAAGGCCTTAAATACAATAGAATATAGCCAGTTAATTTAGAGCAGTGAATTGCTCCAAGTATAATTAAAGCACGGGATGATTTTTCTTCTTCTTTCTTTCTGTAAGATCCCATAAAGAAGAGGTTTAAAAATCAAACCTTTTCTCAAAACCAACCAGTTCATGCTTCTTCCAGTGTCTGTAGTGTTACTTTGGTGTATAGTTGCCCTCTGTCATTTCCCAGGAATGAGGGCATGTACATGGACATTGTACTGCAAATTAGTTGATGGAGAGTACTTTGATACTGTAGCATAACTTAATACCACAAAGCTTGGTTTTGTGTCACTTTTTCAGGTTGATATTTCTGGGTTTCAACTGTCTGTTAAGACTCAGTTCAGAACAGCCTTTGAAGCTATACTGCTTCTAACAAAGGTAAGTCCTCATCTTCCCAGTTGATGGTTGTAGTTACATGTAGAGGCAAGAAAGAGGCTCAGTTCTGATTAAGAACTTTCAAAATGTTAGTGTGTCTTCTGGATTTATAATAATAATAATTCTGGATTTATAATAATAATGCAGACAAGCTTAAACTTCTTCAAAATTATGAAATCTTTATTTTTAACTGTCCAGGTTAAACTGCTCTATTTTATTTTGGGCACAACTGCTCCTTCATTAATGTGTGCAGCATATGGGATATTTCTTACAGTCAAGGTGAAAAGACACATCATGTTCAGTTCCCCAGTCTGGATGCATTTTAGGAAATAGAAATACATGGGTATAGTTAAATCCCTGCCTTGGTGCCCTTGCTGCACAGCCTAATGGTCATGAGACGTCAGGCCCCAGCTGTGCAGATATTCAGTATTTCCATCTCTTACAATTGCTTCTGATTAAAATAAAGCATTTTATGTAATTTCAGGTTTAGCAACTGTTTTCTCTCTGGCTACACAACTTAAGATGAGGAATCTTCTGAATTTCAGCTATTGCTGTTCATTTTTAGCTTACTCACAGTTGTGACTTTATTTCTGATGTTAACCATAGTCCACTTAAGTCCTTAAAAATCAGAAAACTCTCCAAAGAATTTCCTTACACGTTTTATAGATCTGAACTTTTTCTGAAATGGATTTTGTGTTTTTGGCTATCAGAAAAACAAACCGAAACCTCATTCTTTTTATTGGAGGCTGTTTCAGAATCAGCCAGCCTGTTTACCTGAAATATCTGTGTTTGAACAAGAAGTCACTGAACATTATTTTCTTCTGACAGGTTGCTTTAATACATCCACCTTGAGCACCTTTACAGCTGCTTAGGCATGAAAGACTGACATAAAATTGAAGTAGCACTTATTAAACTGCAAATACTTACTAAGGCAAATTTACTTATCTTTCAAGGAGCTGGAACTGTACAAAGAGGAACTGCTAACAAAGCCTGCGCTTCTTGCCATTAATAAGATGGATTTGCCTTGTGCAAAGGATAACTTGAACGAACTTATGAAACAACTACAGAATCCTCAAGGTAAATTAACTTCCAATGATTGCGTTCAACAAGTCATAAGATTTCATAAGGGTTAACTGCATTGGCTAGGAGTTGTTTGAAGCTGAAGTCAGCTATTAAATTTATTATTTGAACATATGTTTTAAAACCACTTCCTGCATTTAGAGCTCTGTTTATATGCATTTTTAGTGCTGCCTTCACTGTTGGGGTAGTACTTTAATAAATAGAGATGTCCTAGAAGATCTTTCCAAACTATGATAGGGAAGAGTAAATTTCCAGTCTAGATATGTTAGATAACAGTAACCTCTGTTGAAGGTCCCCTTACGGACATTGATGTATATACATTTCTCTGGCCAAAGCATGTGAAAATACTGGACAGGCCTATATAGTTTTACTTCAAATTTGCTATTACCTTGGGGTGCATTTCTTCCCTTGAGTGTGTAAGAACCAGAAAAGCTTAAAACCATCCATATCCCAAATCCTGCAACTTGGCATTTCTTTGTACTCATCTTAAAGGAAGGTGTAGAATCTTCTCATGAGAGTGTAAGTATGGCTTAACTGTTGTGTTAGTGCTTGTCTTCAAAGCCTTTAGCTATTTTTTTAAAGATTAAGCAAATAATAAATTAGATATTAATTGCAAGTATGTTTACTGAAATTTGTTAAAGCTCATTTTCTGAATGCAGTGCGCTTCTATGGGCTTTGTAGTGATACACTGGGGTTATACTAACTCCTCTGATATGATTTTTCAGACTACTTACACTTAGTAGAAGAAGAAATGATTCCCGCAAATACACTCGAATTCAAAGATATAATTCCTATATCTGCACAAACTGGAGAAGGAATTGAGGAATTGAAAGCGAGTATAAGAAAGTCCATAGCTGAGGAAGCAGAGCAGGAGAATGAAGAATATCGGAAAAAGAAACTACTACTTCTACATGCTTCAGAAGAACAGATGAATAGAAGATAGTATTCGTGGCTGGATACAACACATTTTAGTATTTTCCGTAATATGTATGAACCCGTTTAATTTTTGTTCCCTTTGCCACCACTGCCCACTTCTCTGCTCCCTCCCCCACGTTGGTTCAGTGTCTTTTGGCACTTGGGTAGAGCACAGTGGGGAAAAAAACAGGGTTTTGTGATTTACCTTGACTACCGACTCAACAGAGTAAAGATCAAAGTATGTGCAACTCAAAGTATTGCTTAACAACTAGTGATTCTGGAGTATTTTTTGCCAAATGAGATGAATGGAAGGAATATAACTCACAGAGGTAGCAAAGGACCACGTTCAACTATTCCATGTTTTGGAAACACCAGGGGCAGTTTCTGATGGAGCAGGTTTCCAGGTTGCAGTACTTCTAATGTGAACCAGTTCCGCTACTTCAACAGGCATCAGATTGTGGGGGGGGTTGTTATTTCTAAAGATTGAAAGGAAACAAAAAAATGGCAGCAAGGAAGTGACTTGTACGAACACAAAAAAGCAAAGCTGATGTGTAATGTTAGGGTTTTATTTCACAGCTGCCAGTGTCTGCTGTAATACTCCTGAGGATATAAATCCTGATTCCAAATTCCCACTCTTTCATTTGGGATTTCTTCCTTTTATGGAGTTGTGGGTACACGTTACTTTTTAGTGAAGGAAAGGATAACTGCTTTTCAACAGTTGGGGAATAGTTTATGTTCCGGCTTTTGTGTAATAAGCAGGCATGCATTTTATTTTTGGAAAAAAAATAAAAAAGAAACCAAACAAGTGCTTTATTGTATGTTTTGGGATGGGATGTATGGGATGTTTTCTATTTCAATGGTATTATATTGATTGCAAAGCAACATAAGACTGAATGCATCAGCAGCTTCTCAGCTTAGTTTGGTTTTGTTTTGTAAGCGCACTTACCAAACCGTGCTTCTCTAAATTTTGTTAAAGCAGTCACTGGGAAAAAAGGTGTGATTTATCATGATCCAATTCTATTATCGTTAGTACTGGTTCTTATTCCTATTTTCCTCTAATTTTACTCTGTGTGTGTCCAGCATATTTTCACCAAAGTAAAGCATGGGCTGCAGACAATTTTTGATACTCCATTTATTTCATTGTTGAAAATAACATGTTTAATGGGGGGGGGGGGCGGAAGGATTGCGATGAGAACAACCTTGGCTTTATTTAAGCTGTGCACGAAGAGTTGCGATGAATAGGTAAGGTGTACGGTAACTTGTGGGTTAAGGGCAACGCATTTTAATAAGTGAAGGAAAGCAGCAGCAGCAAACGCAAGCGCTCCCCATCTACCACTGTCGGGCCGGTACCCCGCCGCTCTCCCGCATAACAGCTGCTTTGGGCTGCAGGCACCGGCTCCTCGAGCGTTAACCACGTAGCCGCCGTACGTAAGGAGCGTGTTCACAGCACCGCCTTTCCCAGTGGCGGACCCCGCGCGGGTCGCAACCGCTGGGAGCGGAACACGCTTCCTGCAGGAGCCGCCCCGCGGGGCACGCTGGGAGTTGCAGTGCGGTCGAGGGGGCTGGCGCTGCGGCGGTGCCGGACTAAACCCGCAGCCCCGCCGCGGCCTCCTGAGGGGAGAGGCGGCCCCGGCGGGCGCAGGTCGGGCAGCGCCCCGGCGATGGTGCCTTCGCTGCGTGGCCCCGTGCGCTGACAGGAAGGTGAGCGCCGGAGCGGGCATGGGGGCGGCGGCGGCTGCCGGGCCGTAAAGGGGCTGATGGGCCGGCCCGGTGCGCCGATGTTGAGGGGGCTTCGCTGTCGGTAGGCCGGCGGCGGTAGCGGTGGCTTCAGTGACTCGCCCCGGTTGGGAGCGCGACAGGTCGGGAGCGAGGAGACCTGGTGGTGTTTGGCTTTTGCCGGGCAGGCAGGGCAGCAGCTGAACCACTCGGGGAGGGGGGAGGTTTGTGTTTTCCTTTTCGGCCTTGGCTGTCGTCATCTGTTTTTCCCAGATCAGCGGGAGCCCGTGCTACATGCTGGAAAACGCTAGTGTATTAACTAGGAATGCTGAGTCTAATCCTGTGCATCTGGATTTAATTTTAATAGGAGTTTTGTAAGACTTGGAACTGTGTGATGGATTTCCAGAAGAAGAAAACATGACTGGTGGCACTGATTCTTTACCAGTTACTTCCCATTATCTTGAAACAGGATAGCTGTTGGTCTCTCGTTGCAGGTGGTCAGTTATGCAAAACTCATTATGATTTTTTTAAACTGATAACACTGTTGTGGATCGGTAGAGAATGTGTTTGTTTATAAATTGTTCTTAGTGGGACCTCTCCTGCAGAGCTTTACAGAACAGCAGTGGTCTTAGGGCTGTGCAAGGGAACAGACCTGGCCTTACTCATCACTGAAGTATGTCTCTAGTAAAGGCTTTTTTTTTTTTTTCCTTCTTTGCTTATTTTGTGCAGCTTGTGAGCAGTTAATGATCTACCAGGTTTTAACCAGCTTCAGCAAGCATCTCTTGTTACAGCAGCATAGATCTTTAAAATAGGAGCTGTGGCAAAGTCTGTCCCTGAAGTGGTATGAGGTAACGGTGGTGGACAGGATACAAAAGCCTTGAATATTAAAGCTGTAAGATCCTTGGGATATACAAAGCTTGTATCTATAATCCAGGACAAGACAGGGTTTCATCTGCCCTAGCCAAAGTGAGCTTTCTTCCCCTGGACAGCTGGTTCAGAAGTGGCTGAGGTCCTTACCTGTGCAACACCACCAGTGACAGAGAATAAAGTCAGATGGACTAAAAGGAAGATTAAAAAATACTCCCATGTCTATAGAAATGGAGGACTTTCAGAGTTAGATGTGGTAGAATATTCCATACCTGTTCTGTATCTGTTTGTTACAACAGCTGGTGGCTGCAGGTTGTCATCATTTAATGGGAGGGACTCTTGGGATAGGCAAGGCTCCTTTTCTGACACGTTTGTTTGCCAGTACTAATTTTCTACTTGATTATGGTTATTACTGAGCACTGGCTGGTATTCTGAGGAGTGACCCTGCAGAGGGAGATCTGCATGTTTATCCTAGCTTTGGTTGCTACTAAATGCACAGAAAGCTTAAAATTGCTGAGAAATACTAGTGAATAAAAAGATCTGCTCCAAGCTGTGCAGTAATGCTTTTTTGAGACCCAGACTTAAAAAAATACAAACAACTCAGCTCTGCTGCTTCTCCAAATGCAGCTGAGAGTGTTGCTGCTGACCTCTGCAGCCTTTCATAGTTAGTGTCCCCAGATTGCTGTGTTTACTCATAGTAGTCTTGGCTGATTAAGTTGGTAGTGGGAATGCTTGATTTGATTTTTGTCTGCATTTCTGTGTCTTACATGTGATAGCATTCATATTGGAGGACTCCAGACTTGGAAATTCACTTTCTCGTTTAGTGAAAGATATGGGTTGCATGAGTGTGTGCTGTCAGGTCTCTCTCTTGCCTAGATGGTTTGATAAATTCTTCGATGTTGCACTCCAGGAGACTACACATATATAAATGTTAGATTATTTCAGGATTTGATATAGATTATTTAAGAGAAATTCAATGTCCTTGTACATGTTAGTACAGCAAACTCACCTTTAGATTGTAGCTCTTAACAGTCACATAATGACATCCTTGTAGATCTGACATCATCCAGCAGAAAAGCCATTTTCCCATTATGACCTGCATAATTGTTCCTGGGACTCAGTGGTGTGGATCTCGTATGGGTGTAAAGACTCCACAAAAAAAAAAAAGATCCTTTATCTTCCTCTGGGAAAGCTAGACAGCCATTGAAAACGCATCATCATCAGTACTTCCCTTGTGTAGAAGCCAGGAAGGAATAGAGAACCACAAGTATATAAACAGTTCAGAGTCTGTGTTTTGTTGTCATTAAAAACAATTTTATCCCCTTCACCCTGCTGTTTAAGTGCAGCCTGGAACCTAACATCTGAAATAATAATTTTTTGTGACTTGGTGTGTTTGGGAGTTTATTTTGTTAGAAACATAAAACCGAGGATCTGAAAACCTTTGTGTCTTGAAACACCCTTGAGAAAGGGAGCTGTTTGCACCCCTCTTATCTGTTCCATAAAGACAGAGATAAGTAGATAGAAAGAGAACATGTTCCTGGGGAAAGGGGAAAAAAAAAATGTAGTTTGAGCTTTGTTTTTTAAATAAGAGGAAATTGTACAAAGGTGCTGAAGTCAGCCTAATGTGAGCATATCTGAGATTCCTTATTTCTGAATTACAATGTTAAACAAATGCATGAAACTAATATGATGCTGACACTCTCCTTGTTCTGTCTCTTAGATCCAGTAACACCTTTCTTCCTACTTCTAGAAGTTGCTACGGTTTCTCTTGATTTGAACACACTGTTGGTAAGTACACTGGATCAGTCTTAATTAAGGCAACATCTGTTTTGTTACTGACTTAATCAGGGACCTGTAACTGAAGCTGTAATTACAGCCATAAAGCTAGCAGCTTTGCAACATGCAACAGCATTCCATCAGATGGAGCGATCATGGATAACTTACCTACAAATTCACTTTCCCTTGATACCTCTAATGGGAAAATGAGATATTTTCTATGTATTTCCTAAGCCAAGAGAAGCACTAAGGGCTCTTTAATTTTATTAAAAACAAAACAAAGAAACAAACAAAAAAACCCACTCAAAACCAAACAAAAAAAACCTCACCCCCTCAAAAAACCCCCACGAACCCAAAACGACCACCACCACCGAAAAAAAAACCCTCAACCAACTAAACCCAAAAAAACACCTCAGCAAAGCCCAGCCAAAATCCCTACCTTGAATTCCTGGTGCGTCTACCAAAAATAAAATATGCAGGGTGGTCTAAGCACACTTGGCAACCATAGGATGAACTACAGACTAAAGTCTTCTGTCTGTGTAACTGTTACAGCAGAGGTAATAGAAAAATACAAATTTCCCCATGCTGTCTGAAGTCCTGGCAGTGTAGTCCTTGCCATAAGTCTACCTTGGTGACATAGAAGGAAAGAAAATACCCCCTTTCTTCTTGTCCGCCCTCTTGTATTAGAGAATACGGATGAACCTCACATCTTTTTTTGCCCACCCTGCATTAACTCTGCCCAGATTTTCAAATGCAAATGAATTTGCACAAACCATGGGTTTCTGAAAATGGCCACTCCTGTGCTTATTCCAGCTGCTTCCAGTATTTGTGGAAATTCCTCATCTGAAAAGTTCCCTGGGTATTTGATGTTTGCAGGTGTAGAAGGAGAGTAAGGGATCAGATCGTAGTTCTGTATGGTTGCAACCATGTCTGCAGCCTTTCTGAGATACAGATGTTCAGGTATTTGTGTACACATTAGGTAGAGCTTCTGGTACCTAAAGAATTGTTTTGTGACTTTAGACAAATAAGCACAGTGCATTGTAATGATTTTGAAAAAATTTCAGTAGGAGTTTATGACCGAATGGCACTCAGTGAGAATATTTAAGGTACTCTCATTTTTAGGTACTATAATTTTTAGTGTCTTGCTTCAGATATGTTCTGAGGTTGATGCTCAGTGCCTGTTATGGATTAGGCTTCTTTAAAGTATCTCAAGCTCCCAGAGGAGGGAATTACTCAGACTGAATCTTTTTAAAAGACCCATCATTGAGACTGTTTCCCGATATCCCTCCAGGTAAGAGACTATATACTGGGTACACAGACAGGGGTTATATTGAAAAGGAAGCAATGTTCTTTAACACTGGTTTTGAAGAGGAAAATGTGACCCCTGAAAAGCCATCTGCTTTCTGGAATTGCTTGCGTCTTGGACAGCTGCTTTTGAGAGGCAGACATAGTGTGGAAGAACTGTTAATTGCCTTTGAAAAAGTCATAATCACGTTAATCAGCAGAGTCTTCTCTGCTACTTTACAGCTCTCATCAACAGTTTGTTCTATATATAATGTGTATAACTGTGTACGTATCCATTCCTTGTCCAGTCTAACTGTGTTGGGTTTAAGCAATTCCTTTTAAGATAGGACTTAAAAGTCCTACTCTGATATTACATCTGGGCTAAAGGGGGAGCTGCCAGTTGAGGAGAGGTGAACTTAAATCACAGTCAGTGATTCACTTTCTCCACCTGAACTCTGTAGAAGTCCACACAGTGACACAAGATGAAAGGCTGTGTAGAATTACATGTTCAAGTGCTCCTTTTGAATTTTGATCACAGTGAATTTAGGAGTCTGTCAGCTGAGCAGTCCTAACAGTCTGTGAAAGAATCTGGTGTTTCATTAAAGCATGAACTTGGTAGTGCTAGCTCCACATAAGGGTGTAAGGCAAAGAACGTGCCAGAGAGTTACTGCCTACTGGCTGCCATACAAGTTTATTAACCTGGGATGAGTCAGTGTTAGTCCTGTGTCTGTAAACTTTCACCTACTGACTTTTTTTCCCTCTTCTTCATTGCAGGAAACGACTTCTGTGAGCAAGCATGGGCTGCCGGGATGTTCATGCAGCCACCGTCCTGGCCTTCCTCAGCGGAACAGCCTCAGTAGCTGGACTCCTTGCAGCAGTTCTTCTTCCAAACTGGAGGCAAATGAGACTGTGCACATTCAACAAGAATGAGAGGAACGTGACAGTTTACACTGGACTTTGGATTAAGTGCGCTCGCTTTGATGGGAGCAGAGACTGTGTGATATATGACCCACAGTGGTACACTGCTGTCGATCAACTGGATTTGCGTGTTCTTCAGTTCGCCCTTCCACTGAGTATGTTAACTGCTGTCTCGGCTCTGTTTCTCTGCTTGATTGGCATGTGTAACACAGCCTTTGTATCGACTGTGCCAAACGTCAAACTGGCTAAATGCCTTGTGAACAGTGCAGGCTGCCACCTCGTGGCTGGCCTCTTGTTCCTGCTTGCATGTGCCATTTGTCTCACTCCATCAATCTGGGTCATTTTTTATAACAACTATCTGAACAGAAAATACGAGCCTATCTTTAGCTTTGACATCTCTGTTTTTATTGCCATTGCCAGTGCTGGTGGTCTGTTTTTCACTTCCATTATGCTGTTTCTGTGGTACTGTGCATGTAAAAGTCTACCTTCTCCTTTTTGGCAGCCCCTCTATTCCCATGCCCCTAGCATGCACAGCTATGCCTCCCAGCCGTACTCTGCACGCTCTCGTCTTTCTGCCATGGAAATTGACATTCCTGTTGTGACACATGCAACTTAAGAAGACAAACTCTTGGAAGCCAAGTTCTTAAGCTCATTCAGACCGTGAGAATTGCAGGCTTGATTCTCTCTGCTGCCTTGTGCTGAGCATAATCATTTGTAAGGTCAGGTTTCCAAAGGTGCAAAGCAGTGGAGCTGCGAGTTTAGCAAGCCTCTTGCTGTTCTCATGTGTTACTTCCTGACCAACTTTTTTTGTTTTCTGTTGGCTTTTTTTTAACTCTGAGCTCACTACAGACAAAGTTGCTGCTGCTCCTTGGACATTACACTAACAATAGCACCCGTTCATCCTTCTGATTACTGAGGTCAGAGCAGGTTTGAACATCTTTGCTATTTGATAAGCTACTGGTCCCATTATAAGAGCTACATAGGTGGACCCTTGCACCCCTGCATTATCCAAATGCAGGCAGTGGAACTGAGTGCAAGGAGTTCAGATTTTCATGTTCATCTGGACACACATATTTTAAGATGTAATGTATGAAAAGGGTATTTGGCAGACTAATCCAATTCTGTAGCAGTCTGTTTTCCACTGTACACACAAAAAGCTACCTGCTTACAAACTTCTGTAATGGAATTGGTGTCAAATTACCCTTTATTTTCAAAGTAGCTATCAGAAGACAAAAATCTGATTTAAGTAGTAATGTTGTTCTGTACTGTAATAGCATTTTGTGAATTGCTGGAGGCTAGAAACTTTTTTTGTGATTTTTATTTCTAGTCTTTTTTACTGAGTTAGCAAGTTCACTGAATCTATTTTGTGATTAAAACAAAAGCCACCTGTATTTTAAAAATTCTGTTTAGAAGCTTGAATATTTTATATGAAGGCCATCTTAAAGATAGATTTTCAAGTAGGCTTTAAAGTATTAGTTCTGGAGGGAAATGTCACTTGCTGCAAGATGGATTAGGAAAACCATGAAGAATTCTGAAGGCTATGAAAGATTCTTTTGGAACAGCGTACACAAGCTATAACAACATCCCTCTAGGAGGGGGATTATAACCCTGAGGAGAGATTTTTAAATCTAGAATTATTTTTTTTTTAATGTATATACAAGTAACAATGAGCTTGTGTATTTTTCAGAGTCGTTTTTTATGGTTGTTGACTTTTCATGCTGTAGCTGATTTAATTACCAACTTCTCAGCCTTTTTCTTCGACACCTTTCAAGTTGAGCTATTTTAAAATCCAGTTATTTCCTCTGCTGCTACTTCACAAGTGGAAAAAGTTTCCTATTCCTATTTGCTGTAAGATGAGGTTTTAAATAACTTAGCTTCACCTTGTAGCTCTGCAAGGATGAGGAAGGATTATAAATTCCCAATCTGGGATGTCTTTGAGTCATGTTTTTTTCCTTCTAAAATGCAGAGCAAGTCAGCCCTAAGGATCAAAGCTTTTCAATATGGGCTCTGAAATTACCTGGAAGTTTTATGACAGTGAGTTGAAGAGTGTTATAATTAAGGCAAGTATTTGATTTGCTCAGATTTTGGTGACTTGAGATCTTGTGTTGAAGACCTCATTCCAGTAAGGAAAGTTATTTTGATTGATGGCATTCTGGAGCTCAGTGGATATTTGTATTTTATTTATCTCAGAACAAATTTGCTTTGCTAAAAAAAAAAAAAAAATCTTAAATTCCAGTTCTGTAAACTCACCGAAGGCCCTGAAAATTAGTTCATTTCTTTTTCCATGGGAACAAATGCTGTGCTGGGCAAATCTTGTTGTGTTACAATCTGTGTGATAACAGTGTACTAAGAGGAATCATTATGTTATAGCTGGTGGAGCTGGGATTTCGGCATAGAGTAGGGAAGCTGATCCCTATCATAAATTCCAGCATAGTCAGGAAAGTGACAGGCCTTTTGGACCAAGTGCTTGATTAAATTGCAGTCTAAGGAATTAACACTGTAGATGATAAAAAGCACTTGAGAACACAGGCCTCTAACATTACATGAATTTAATACCCTTTTAGGTTTATGAGGCATGATGTTAGGTGAAATATCTTTTATAATTTCTTTAATCAAATTGTGACTTGCATGGGATTAGAACACGCATAATGACATGCAAGCCAGTTGTTTCTTCGAAACTGAACTTTGCTTTGCAGTTACTCTGTTTGTCCAGCCTCAGATTCTGTTGCTGTTTCAGCTGCCCATATTGTTTGATGCCTTGTCAGGTCAAAGCAAAGGGACTGCTGGTTTGTGATTTAACATCCGCTTGCTTCTTCATCGCTCTGGTGTCTCTTCTTCTTTGTGCCTTGCTTATGTTATGAGCTGGTCGCTGAATGTTAGTTTACAGTCAGTGCCTGGTATGCTTTTTGAATTTACATTTTTATCATTTTGGAGAGATGAGGAATACATCTCAGTAATTTTAAAAGGAGCTGAATCTTCAGTATCTCCAGAGCAGGAAAGGCAGCCTGGCAAACTGATGTTTTCTACAAGAGAGTAAATGCAGCCAGTGTTTTGTTCTGTACACTTTAAATAGCAGATGTTTCTGACAGCTCTTTTGTATTCTTTGATTTTTATGCACTAAACTTTCAATTGATATTTGCTGCTGCCTCAGCTGGTAACTTGTTGCTTTGAAAATTGTGTCTTTCCAAAAGTCTAATAGAGCCAAGCTGTGGGAGGTGGGGATCCAGAAGCTAGTGGATTCCAGCACAGTTTTCACTTAAGGTCTTATTTATCAAAAAGACTATTGCATCCTGTTGTATCACTGAAGCACGGATGGGTTTCTTTGAACAGTGCTGTTAATGTGAATTTCTGCTGGATCCCAAGCGAAATTAACTGGAAGTGCTGTGCTTTATTTCTCCTCCTCTACAGAAAGAGGTGGCCAACCTGCGACACTTGAGCCAGGTGCCACTGCAGCAATTCTCTTGCGAAGGTTACCACTGTGCCCAGCAGCAGGGCTGGGGAGTGACAGGCCTCCTGGGATCTGGGGGAACAGGACCCATGTCTCCTGCATGTGTCTCCACCAGGGGCCAGCTGCTGTGAGTGATTGGTAGCCCTGCCACTGTACAGCTGCTCTTTCCTGGGCGCTTAGCTATGTACAGGACAGGCCTCTCTGGGCCTTGAACGCAGGAAGAGGTTTATTTGTGGCTGATGCAGTCAGAGGGTGCTCTGGGATGACAGGAGCCTGTATTTTTTTTTCAAGTAATTCCTGTCCAACTTCTGAAGTTGTGTTTAATTACAGTGTTGGTTCTTTTTATGTGAAACAAGATGCGTATTTTTAATAAAACATTCTCATACAAATGGAGGTGATTTTGATTAATTTTGTGGAAAGCAGTAACTGCTAGAGTATCAAGGTCTACCTGTTTTGGTACTGTTTGCCAGACTTTCAGATGCCTTAGCAGGCTCACGATGTTGCTTATATTGCATATATACTGCAATTTAACTCCTAATTTTACAGGACTCTTGCTTTAAACAAACAAAAACCAACCAAACCAAAAAACTCAACCCTTCTGCCATGCTCTGCAAGCTTGACTATTTATAATTTACTTATAAGCTAGTCCTAACATGTTCCAAGATTCGTTATCCCTTTAAAAGAAGGAGAGTGATTTCTCTTACATCTAGAGGCTTCCCTTTCTGCCCATGGACAGGATGCACACTGGGAACCAGGATCTGTTTCAACCCCCCAGGAAAGCCAAAGTATTGGCAGGACATGGAGAAGAGTGGAGTCCTCGCCCTGTACTCACAGCCCTGTCTCTCCCCTGTCAGTTCTGCTACTCATGCAGCCATCACTTAACCAGTGCAATTTACTTGCAAACCCAGCTGGAACTCCTGAGCTGGGTTATCTTCTTCCTAGTATGGTAAGATTTGCACTGTATTAGTGTCAAACAACAGCAGAGGTGGCACTAGCCATCCTCCTGCCCTCTGCTGTGCCTGCTGTGCTCTCAAGCTGGAGAATGCTACTGCCTTCTGTGTGAAAGTTGGTTCAGCATCCCAGGGACAGTCCAGGTTAGTGATGATTCATTCCCATTGTGTGCTGCTCCTGACAGCTACAGCTCAGCAGCATTGTGGTGACTCTCTACTGAGCCTTTGCCTTTGAACATTAGAAATGCTGCTGCCAGAGTGCAAGTTCACAAATCAACCTGGATTATTTATGCAGAATACAGTAAGACTTGCTGGTAATTCCTCTAGACTTCTTGTATTCTGAACTGGCATTCTAATAAGTTGTTCTTTCTATCTGTTTGGGAAAGAAATGTTTATACAAGAACAGTTCTCATGGAATATGCACATGGAGTATAAACCAGTTGTTGCCAGTACTAAAACTCACTTGGGGTGGAAAAATGATTTTATATTCTCTGCTGTTGTGGGTTCATTTCCTTCTTTGATGGTTTTTCAAGACAGGCCTCCTGTCTGCAAGAGCTGGTATAAACCTAGGGGCTAGTTGGGTGTTGACATAAACACTGGGATGCAGAGAACTCAGTTTCTCCCAAAACATGGAAGAGCCTCATTTTTTATTTTTTTTCATATTAAAATTCCTAAAAAACTACCCCACGTATTTGTGTTTATTGAAAACAAAACTCTTGACAGATTTTCCCCTGGTTTATTTCACAGGAATTGAGCACAGATGTGGTTTAGCAGGTATGTAATGTTACTTATCCTTTTGTATATCTACTGAGCAGGCAGGTAGCGTACCTTAGACGGAGCATAAGCTTTTTTTGTATGGTTTTTGTTGTACTGCTGCATCAGCCTTTATCAAGCTGGACACGCAGAGGCCTCGTCAAAGGGTAAGATGCTTTTTATGTGTGTTCCAGGCAGTCAATTTGCTCATTCAGGTATTAGGCTTCTAGGGCTGGGGGCTTTGTCTTTTGCATGCAACAGCAGCAAGGGCATGTAAAGGCTGAGCCCAGGGCAGTAGAAATTGTGGTGAGCTGGAAGGTATGAATGGTTAAGGCTATTTGGAGGAGAGAGACCAGAAAGCTGGACTTAAAGAGCAGTAGAAATTGTCCTAATTTCAGTTCTAACAAAGAGAAAAATAGGTAATTAAAGCTCTAAGTATCTGAACAACCTTCAAAGCACCAAAGACTCCCAGAATATGATAAGCAAACTTTGAAAACAAAGTGTATGAGTACTGCCCAAGAGGATGTGTCCTTGGGAACCACAGATGTTGGTCCTAGTGCACAGCACCACTTCCTAGCTACATGCGATGCCAGAAGCCTCTGTGTAGCCACTGCTGCCATAGGTGGCATTTTAGCATCAAAGCCTGGCACCAGCCTATCTGTAGTCTCGCTTACCCTGTGTTACATCACTTTCACCAGTCAGGGGGTCTGTAACCATTGATACTGCACTAGTTTTCTTCCCAAAGCTACAACATATTCATAAAGACGTATGTAAGATCATTTACAAATTCACACCGAATTTTAAGTAAATACTAACAGTTATGCCATAAAGAAGCCTTTCCTAAAAACAGGTCCTGTATGTATTTTAACTTACTGCAGACACTTTCTGACCTACTATAGTCTTCAGCATGTGAGGTTTTTGTTTTTTTTTATGAGTTTAAGCAGATACAGTGTGCTGTATGGATGAAATCCCATTTTCTTGCTGCTTTTGTTCTTTATCTTCTTCACTTACTTAGTTTTCAGCCTCCCAGGTGCCTAATCTGGTTTGCCTCCTGGTCATGAGCTCTACTGCCAACACCAGGGAGGTGGTGGGAATATGTGAGCCGAAGTAAAAGGGCAAGATGGCATGCTTGATGCCTCATGAAGTCTTACTCTCAGACCTTTGTTTTCCCACTTACTGAGCAATTTACATAAGAAAGACTGTGTTCATTTGATTTTTTTTTTAAGGTGAGTTGTATTTATTAATTGTAAAAGTTGTTGGAAAAATACTGCATTTTGAGAAAAAACACAACATTAGCAAGGCAAAAATCACGTTTCAAAATATTTTAAGGTTTATTCCCTTTTCATTTAATGCTAATTCAGTTAGTAAAAGAAGGTGTGGCAAGGAAAAAAGATAATGAAGCCTAAAGAGTTGACTTTTCAATTGAATGTGAAGATTACACTGCTTTAAACTATGTATATCTTAAGAAATCAGTAAGGAAAAGAGCTTGGTTTTTTAATAGATATATAGTGCCAAATATTAAGATACTTTCATCAGTTTATAGGTTAATCCAAATGGTTTAGTATTATCTCTGAAGACTCAGTATCATGTATCAGCATTATTGCACTGGTTTTACTCCTTAATCAAGCCAGCAAAGATAAAATGCTCAGGTTCTTCTATTGCTGTGCTAAGGTGTTCTGCAGGTGGATTGGATTTCCTGGACAAAGTGTCACCTTGGAAAGTAACTGGCAAGGAATCACATTCTCACAAAATAGGCTCAGTAGGAAGGCTTTTATTTTACAGTACAGCTGCCTGTTCTTGATTCAGTTATACATCTTCCAGAGAAGGCCTTGAGAACACAAGCTCAATCATCAACAAAAATATTCACCTTTCTGTTCCTTCTTAGGCTTTGGTGCAAGTACCTTCATATTTAACTTGCCATATGCAACTCTGACCAAATGCTGTTGACCTTCACAACTGCAGAAGTGAGCACATTTCCCTTCCAAATAATCCAGACAGTCAGTTTAACAAGTGAGGAAGAGCTGGCTCTGTGACCTTGGTGGTCCACAGACAGCCACAACACGTGAATCATTGAGTCATAGCATACCAGGTTGGAAGGGACCTCAAGGATCATCTGGTCCAACCTGTCTTGGCAAAGCATGACCTAGACTAGATGTCCCAGCACCCTGTCTAGCTGAATCTTAAAAGTGGCCAGCGTTGGGGAATCCACCACTTCCCTGGGGAGATTATTCCAATGGCAAATTGTTCTCAGTGTGAAAAATTTTCCTCTTGTGTCCGGTCATGAGGTTTCTGGCATTGCAGCTTAGCAAGCACTGAGGTGCTGGTGGGGCTCTCAGCAGTGCTTTTGTCAGCTGCTTCTGGGTTACAGAGTTCATAATTCATTATGGTACATCAGTTCCAGTTAGTTTGCATGTACACTTTCAAATGCCATGTGGCTGCACCTTAATTAGCCAAGGAGTTGTGAGAATCTTGGGAACAACTAATCTTAGTGGCTGATGCCTGTATGCCTCATGTGAGGAGTCATCTGGGAGCTGTAATTCTCTCAAGCTCTCAGCACTGATCTGCTTAGAGTTCTTGTAGAAGGTCTTGGACACTGGGCAGAGCAGCATTTGCTTTGACTAGATTTCACTACCCATGGTAAGATTCAAATGCATCACAGACTTTCTGGTTTAAAGCACAGGAACTGAATTCAAAAAGGTCTTACTGGATAGATAACATGAAAACAATGCAACTTGGTGAAATATGACTCTGAGCTGCTTGAGTGTGCATACTGAAGTACAAAAACCCCTGCAGCTTTGGAGTTTGACTCTTGAGTAAGCTAGGTAAAGTACCAAAGTTCAGATTTCTCTCCAAGAAGCATCTTTTACAAGACAGTGTCTCGGGCAACCCCTTCTTATTTTTGCAGGGCACCAGAGGTGGCATTAGGTTCTGCAGAAGCTTGTGTGTGGTCTATCACAGATAACACAGCCTATGCCTCGATTTGCTTGAATACTATTGTACACTTGTGAACTAAAATTGATAGTGCTTCCTGGGTCGGTTCTGGAAACTATTTTTTCTCACAGCTGCTTTTACAATGTTTTACATTTCATTTTGTTATTGATAATTAATCCACTACTGTAGCAATTTAACACATTTTCTTTGCTTTATTTCTGTGTCCAGCTGTCACAACTTTCTCCTAACAGGAATAAACGCAAGTTCCTAATGGCTAAAAGCTATTAATATGTTTTCTTGAGCTCCTGAAGTTCCCTATATGCCTTAAAGTGATTATTATGTTTCCTGAAAATATTGTCTGTGGCCAAGCACCATGCATATTATGTCTGTTGCTGGATAAGTGCATAACTGTGGCTGAACAAAAGAAGGGAGAATGCAGCAGAAGGCAGAACTTCCTTTTCCATTGGCACAGGCATGGAGGAAAGCACCAGAAATTTGGCCATGAGGTTTGAACTGAAAATCCCCATTCAATATATGATTCAGCCATGAACAAATCCCACTGTCTAGAAAGAAATTATCTGTAAATGAAGACAATGATTTGATCATAGTTGCTTTGAAAACGTCCAGTGTATAAAGGCAAGTATTTGTAAACTCCTGAATTCTCAACATCACAGACTCCTACCACAAGCAAGGAGATTTGGGCAGGATGCTGTGTCCACTGGAACACTTGTAATGCTATGGAACACTTGCAATGG